ATCGCCACCTCGGTGTGATGGTGTCGCCACCTGTGTTCACACGTAACGCGTCACCACCTCGGTGTGATGGTGTCGCCACCTGTGTTCACACGTAACGCGTCACCACCTCGGTGTGACGGTGTCGCCACCTGTGTTCACACGTAACGCGTCGCCACCTCGGCGGAGGACGACGACACGACGTGACCCTCGCGTTGCAGCGGGACCCTCCAGATGGCGATGCGGCCGTCCTTGCTGCCCGAGCCCGTCGCGACGTACTTATCACCGATGTTACATATCGTGCGGATCGTGTCGTGGTGCGCGACGCAGTGGTTCTCCAGCTCCGCCTGCCCGCCGCGGGAGCTGATCATGTTCAGCTTCCCACAGAGCGTCCCCACGCACACCTAAGTGACAACAACACGGACGCGTGTATGTAGCATCCGATATTCACCAGCTTGTTATTAATGATAGCATGAATGTATGTGTATAATGTATATAATGGCTTAATAGTATAAGTATTAGCATGAACATATCTATATGATGTATATAATGGCTTAATAGTATAAGTATTAGCATGAACATATCTATATGATGTAAATAATGGCTTAATAGTATTAATAATAGCATGAGCATATCTAAATAATATACGATATATATAATGGCTAAATAGTATAAGTAACAGCATGAACATATCTATATGATTTATATAATGGCTTAATAGTATAAATAATAGCATGAGCATACCTACACAATGTATTACTCGTGTACTACAATACATTGTGGAGATATTTCTCTGATATTGGTAATTAGAAAATAGTATCGAAATAGTAAATAGTATTCAGCTTCCAATTGTTTGGTTTATCAGAGTATCTTTGTGATTTTTTGCTTATTTCGTGCTTTAATCGATTGATTAATTATATTTATCGATTAATGAGCCACCTACCTTGTCCTTGGCAGTGACCATGTATGAAATGCCCGAGCAACTTTCCAATGTCAGCCTGGTTTGCTCGGCCCATGACTCCAGATTCCAGACGATAATTTCCCCAGATCTGCTAAAACCTGCCCACAGTTCGTTCTGCAACGTAAACACGCTAGCCGTCACGCAAAAAACACGAACCGCTACTTGAAAGATTTCCAAGTGCGTGTAAGTCTAGAATGCAACCGATGGTAGCTGCCACAAAATTTGGCACGCGGGAACTTTTTGCATCGTAGAAGTTTTAATCATGATGAAATGCTACGAAACCTACACCGAACCTGTAGACACATGCAATGATATATCGACACGCTGACATACTGACTGTGATATATTCTTATGTTTTATCAGCTTTGATACGTCGATTAATCGCGATGAAAGCTTTTTTCAGGTTCCCACCTGTTTGATGAGAAAGCACTCGAGGAAGCTTGGCTTGCCCCAGATGTCGTACAGCTCGAGGGTTTTGAGTAGAGTTCCATCCTCCTTCACTAGCACAATACTGTCTCTCATGCCTACACGAGCAGAGATAACCATACAAGTGCCATACGAATACAGTACAGTCATGCCTATTCGCCCTTCCATTCATGCAAATACCATTTCTGCTGGCATAGTCAATCCATGTGCACTGTACAGTGTAATTCATCTGTGCGTGCACAGATATAATTCTGCCCAATTTTTGCTACGTCTCTCATGTGTTTCGTACTGCGATTGATGTAGCTTCGTTTGCTTAACTAAGGAATATCTCGGAAAGAAAACTTTAATCACTCATTACTTATTCTGTGCCCTATTATTTTAGTTATAGTTGGGAATGGCTATTACTAAACTAGATTTCATACTCATACTGAACTTTGTCTTACACAATCGCCGATTCAGAAATATCCGATATTTTCGATTATCAGACCACCTATACGAGCTGTTTAGGTCGGATAATCGAGACTCAACTGTATGAACGTATAAAGCTTCAGTAAAATAATTGTTTCAGTTGCTAAGACGATGCCATAGGAGCAAAAATATGGATACCAAATTATACCAGTAACCAAAGACGTACAAAATGTATATGTATAACACAAGAATAAGTGATTATTAGGTTAAATCTACCAGATTTTTTTTTTCAAAACCAAACTTGAAGTCACTGCACTTACCACACCAGAGATTCTCGTTATCGTCTGCAGAAATGCCGATCAGCTCCCGCTTAGGCAGGAAGAAATCCGTGTTCTCAAAGGTTTCGGGATTCCAGATGAACACATGACCATCCAGGCTCCCCGAATACACTTTCCTGCAAAATTCACAGGAATCAACTATGAGTATGTCCTGGCATGTTGACCAACAGATCAGTGTAGACTATAGTACACACCCCAGGAAGACACACCACGCACCCATACTCAATGGAGGAAAACATAATATACTTTTGCTTTCGTAAAATGGGACCAACTACATTTCCTGTAATGTCTAGTATATAGTGTATAGCATCTACTCTGGCTTCTGCTGCTAAGACACACTGATAGCATCCAAACGAGTACCAACTCACGTGTTGTCCACAGTGACGCCTAGATCGGAGATGGTGTCGCCATGAGCTAGCAGCTTGCGGGATACCGCGACCGTTTCCATGGCAATGACGTGTATTGTACCATCTTTGGCTGCGGCCCAGATGTGCTTCTCTCCCACTTGCAGAAAGCGGTACTTGAAAAGCGATGAGAGTACTGTATTTACTCGTGTATAAGTCGCATTCGTGTATAAGTCGCACCCTATATTTTGCTTTGAAAAGTTGGTGCAAAACTTTTATAATCGAAAGTTACATGGAAGATGAGACCACAAGTGCTAGTGAGCTTTTCAAATTACATTACGTCATGTATACCATTATTTACCTTACCTCGTGTATAAGTCGCACCACTGATTTTGAAGTTGTGTACAAAAAAGTGTGACTTATACATGAGTAAATATGGTATATATTAGCTGGCATTTAGCTGCAACCATTAGTTAGACCATTAGAAGATGATTAATGCAAACAACCAATAAATATGCAAGGGCACTCAAGTGAGGGCCCATTCACACTTATCATGATTATCACAAATGTAGGGCAGCGCTGAAACAAAAAAGTTTTGCACTCGGTCCGTTAGACCATGTCCTCAGAAAATGTCTGGTATCTGACCTTTCCCCCACTGCCCTTTGACCTCCAATTTCGCGCTGGTGATGGGTTTCCTCCCCATCACACTATACATCGAATATTAAGAGCGTAGGTCGAGCCGTTGAGATTTGTGCCGCAATTCCGTATTTCCTCCTATACCTTAGGTTAAGGGGGAAATGTTCCCCCTCCATTGACACATCTTGACCTTTGACCCTAGACCCCCAAATTCAACATCCCGAGTCTTTTTCGCGACCCCCCCCCCCGACGTCCAGAATATCAAGACTGTACGTTGAGCGGTTAAGATTTGTGCCCAACTGTTGACAGATGCACGGACGGACGCACGGACGCACGGACAATCATGCGATTCTACAAGCTGCATCTGACTTCGTCAGCTGAGCTAATAAATATATAATATATAGATATTTTGCTTTTGCATTAATGATTTCACTATTTCCAGTTGGATATACACAAACTTGGTAATTGCACATGCGTACAAAACGATTGCCTGTACATACCACGCGAGAAGGAACATTCACAACAGTTGGTTCTGGTATCCAGGTGGCAGCATCATACACCATTACTCTGTCACTGCCTAATGCAACCCACAGCTTGGGACTGACTAGGTCTTCACCATCTGCAAAGTACGTTAGTTAATATGCATGTGTTATACGAGTATGAGTGTTACTCTTGCACACATAGAGAGAGAACGCGAAAGAGAGAAAGACAAAGAGATAGAGAGAGATAGGAGAGGAGAGAGAGAGATAGGAGAGAAGAGAGAGAGAAAGAGAGAAAGAGAGAAAGAGAGAAAGAGAGACAGAGAGACAAAAAGCAGAGGAGAAAAAGATAGAGAGAGAGAGAGAGAGAGAGAGAGAGAGAGAAATAGAGAGAAAGTGAGAGGGAGAGAAAGAACGAGAGAGAAAAAGATAGAGAGGGAAACAGTGAAAGAGAGACAAAAAACAGAGAAAAAATGAAAAAAGCCACCATACAAGAGCAGGAGAATAAAAAAGAGTTAACCCCCTAGTACGCGTCCTGAAAAGAAAAAAAGCTCTCGAGGTAGAAAACAGCAACGCGAGCGACACTCGGCGTGGCAGCGCACTCACTTCCTGGTATGTAGAGCAGGGCCTCGACCGTCGCGCGCTCAGCCTCCGTCGCCGACGGGTTGATGCGGTGCGCGAGCATGAAGCGATCGCACACGGCATCCACGCGCATGCTCTGCTGCTGCTGCTGCGACGCCGCCGCTGCCGCGCTGCACTGCGTGAAGTAGCACAGCCCCGCGGCGGCCGCCAGCACCTCCGACCACGGCTGCTTCGTCTTCTGGTGACTGCAAACACACGTGCGTAGACGCGGTCACGCGTGAATCGGAAGCGATTTCGGTTACACGCCGACGAGGTGCGCTCTACGTAAAATGTTACGATGAGCTGACGATTGACCTATCTGCCTTGCATGATTGGCAGGTGCCCCTAGCCAATCATTATTGTGATAGGACATTGACAAAAAAAACAATGTTTGGCAGTAAAGAGTTGCAGGATCAACAGCATGGCATGCACACCTGAAAAATGCACATAAGCTGGTTTGGTTTGATTTTCGTAGCAACCATATTCAAGCGGGGTGTTGTTAACTCGCTCAGACGGACAGGTCAACTGAGAAAAGTTGTCATTATAGGGGTTTAATGTGTTATGCAGTACAATCACAATCAAGGCATTTGCCACGGTGTCTACTGTCAAACTTTTATCACATCATTTTCTCAGCAATCGCTGTGATATGAAGTTGACAAATATTTTGCAAAGACTCCTTATTGCCTTTCTAATACACAATAATAAACAAAATCAGTATCGCTTCACATCACTTTATGTAACAACGTTTCTATATCAAAGAAAGACCTTGCACTGTCATTGCACATCATGATCTAACGAGAGAAACTGTGGCCATACCTTGTAAGGAACGCATCGACGATCAGTCCATTCCTCGCTGCCTGCTGTATCAGATGTATGTCCTGTTCTTCGACTGACCTCAGCCTTCCTGACCACAACTCCTTAATGACAGCTAAGCAGATGTCGCATTCCTTCTTCAGTGCAGCCCTGAATGGCTTTGCTCCCTTTACTGTGGCAAGCAGAACAAAGATTACCCATAAAATCACTAGCTAAGGGTTTCCATGAGAGGAAATTACTGCACAGATACTGAGATAGGTACAAATTACCATTGCCACATCTCTTAAAGAATTTTCAAGTAAATTGTACAGAAATTGTCTCGCAAAATAACTTTTGCTAATATGAAACAAACATGAAAGCAATCAACCTTTGCTGTATATCCGCACAGACGGATTTCGCGGGTTTGAAAACACAGAGAGCCAGTTGAATTTCTCAATGCTGTCAATATCTCTGAGCTGAATTATCTCTTGATATTCATTCGTTGTATCTTCTAGGTAAAACAACCTGGAAGCAAGCAAAAGAATCAGATGACTCTGTTGAGGATGCTCTTGTAAATTAAAAAAAAATTCTGAGTGCATCAACCATGGTGACAACTGGTGCAAGATGCACAAACAAACGCCTGTTTTCTCATTGTAGTGGAATATTGTGACATGGTTACTGTCATGTGAGTTTTGAATTATGTAGTATTTCAAATTGTTAGATGTATCCTTTTTATTTCAATAGATACAAACTACATACACTACTTTCCCTAGTTATCATAACTGCATGTTTCTACATAACTTAAATATTGTCACATCAATTACCGTCACACTATGGCACCATTAAATGAAAGTGTCAATGACACTGTAGCTCACCTTGGGTGTGATAGAAGAGGGAGGGGGATATAAAAAGCAAGAGTATATATGGGAGAACTCCCATTATATAGCATATCTCCCATTATATACTCCTGATAATGATATATGCATAAGTTTTGATGTGAAAATAAATGTTTCAGATATGAAAGTCTGAAATCTTGATGAGAGATGGCGCTACGCCTAAATGATCGCCATTTTGGTTTTCTATATAGCGCAAATATAAACAATAAAATATTCCAGTCAAATTACTGTAACGAAGAATCTAAAACACAATATTACACGTATATCATGTCTATAGGTATGATTGTAGAGTTGTTGACCAGTTCATCTCTCCCATAAGAGTAACAACTGTTTTGGGGCTAGCCTTACACATTCACATACCAAAATTTAACAAAATCGAATGAATTTAGATGGCCATTTTCATTTTTGCCAAAAAGTGGGTGTGGCTCGAAAGTAGGTCGACTGGCGTGCTCCAAAATAGGAAGTTCAAATCTCTCCCATAGGACTAACAACTGTATTCAATTTGAAACATGTGGGTCAAACGGTTCTTGAGTTATCGTTGACCGTAGGCAGACACTGAAATGCTAGTGAAATTGCCAAAATCTACCTAATTTGCATAATTTTTTTTTAAAATTCAAAAACCTGTGTGATATGTTTTGAGGCCAGTCTTCATTCATTCACATACCAGAAATGAGCAAAACCCATTGAACCTGAACTGACTTGTGGCCATTTACATTTTTGCCAAAAAGTGGACGTGGCGCGATTGTAGGTCAACTGGCGTGCTCCAAAATAGGACGTTCAAACCTCTCCCATAAGAGTAACAACTATATGCAATTTGAAACATGTGGGTCAAACGGTTCTTGAGTTATCGTTGACCGTAGCCAAATGTTGACGGACGGACGGACGACACCCGATGGCAATAGCTCATCTTGACGATGTCAAGGTGAGCTTACAATCCACGCTAAACCCAGGATTAGGTTAATAACGTATTAGTTAATTACGCTAACGCGCAAACGAAGGCGGAATACCGTTTCTGTGTGAGGCCGATTCGTCCCATTCCGTAGTCCGTCTTCACTGGCGCAGACACCTTCAGTATGCACTCGTTCCAGTCGAGCCTCTCCAAGCACGTGGGAAGGTCTACCTGCTGACACTCGAGCTCCTGACTGTTCCACGTGTCATAGAACCGCTTGAACACCTTCGGTGCCACGACTACAAAAAACAATCATCCTTGAACGTAAAAGGCAGGTGCTGATCCAGGATTTGAAGAAGGGGAGGGGAAGGCACCTTGCTAGCGATGAGATTGTGAAGTCCATAGCGAGATATTTGAGGACCCTTCCCCATTAAATTTCGTTGCTAAAACTTTGTAGATGCAGTTTCCTATGTATCTGACAATTTGTTCTGAAAAATCACGCCCATTTTTTAAGGCGAACAATTTTGAAAGAAAACGTTTGCTTGGCAAAAAGTAGAGAGAATTTGCCTTGATTACGCACACATTAGGACCTAAACAATCAGAACCGAGAAAGCACAGAGACGGTGCGAATGAGCAATGCAAGAAGCATCTTACATGGCACCGATTCTTGCCTAATCTCCATCTAGAATCTGAAGACACACACGACATGCACAGCATGCAAAATTCCAAATTTATGTCATCCACAGTCAGTGTTCTCTACCAGCATGTAATGGTGTCATTTAGCATAATTTCAGTATATTCTAGTTTTATCATTAAGTGTTTTGCATGCTGATAAAAAATGTCACCTGAGAGATAGAGATAATATCCAGGGTACATCTAACTAAATCTAAAACCCAGTCTACACCAACGTTTGTGCCTATCAATAATTTAACACAACTCTACTAACTTAATTTCATGCAATTAAAGTAACCAAACCAAGTCAACCCAACACTTCTATATAGAAAGTGCTGTTAAAGTGCTACACGACCTACCATCGTCCTTATTGAACGTAAGCGCGCGGAACAGCCGGGTTATGACTTCATGATCTACCGCAATGTCCAGTTGTTCCACGTGCTTTGCAAACGTCTCCAGATCTGTGACATATATGGGCACAAATTTGATCCACAATCGCAAATCTTGTTCATTTCCACAGCTTTGCCACAAGACAGACTGTGAACCATTGAAAGGATATTATCTGGCGTTTTGGTGCTCTCAGGAACACAAGTCTAGCTTATACAGGTCCTGTACGTATAGTCCTTGTAGGCTTCAGTGGACTATACGTGCAAAAGCCATTAATTGCGTATGTGCCCACAAAGCATTGCAAATTGTAGCAATGTGCGGTGAACTGACCATTACAAATAATGCATGCGAGCCCTATCAATCTCCAGTGATCAGGGCTCTGGTCTATACTAATAGTGCCCTGAGAGTGCCTAAATGCTGGATTGATTTCCTTAAAATCAATGAAAGAATTAAACCGAAGCACTGTTGTAAAGTTTTATATTATATTATTATATTACATATTATTATTATTACATTATTATATAATTATTAATGCTATATGGTCTATGTGACCTTATGTACACAGAAATGACCAGGAGTGGCACCTACTGACTGGTCGCTTTGGAATGCTCTCTATGGAAACAGTGAGGTCCCTGTATGCACGTCCCAGCGTCTCACTGCTGGCCAGTTTCTTCCACATGGAATTGTCGCGAAAAAATGCCATCTGCTCAAGTTCCCCTCTCTGCTTCTCTGACGATGTCAGCATCACTTTCTGCACCACACTACAATATCAACGATAACAGAATATTAGTGATGCAATATGCATATATACATGCAGGGTGTACTTTCACAAGACAGAGACATATTCCAGAACCCCAAGATTCAAGACAAATAAAATCTTTGTACCTTGAATCTTCCGATCAAAAATAATAATCAAACTCTTGCCTCGCGTAGATTTTATTGCGTCTCAATCCATAAACAAGACTAGATCCTCCTTATATTAAACTTGTTATGATCATTAGTAAAATATGAACACGATAGACATGCGCTAAACTTCACGAACATTTTAGGACCAAACATAATATTAACCCTATTTTAAAGATTTTCTAAAGCCATAGTCCATCTTGCAAGACTTTTCACACCCAGAAAATGTCATTTTAAAATGTCAAGACTTTTCAAGTATTCCAGGACCCATACAAATGTAGCCATCTCCACAGAACTAAAACATACGCGAAAATTTAATGCACGTAAAATCAGAAGTGAATAAAAACAAATGATTAGTTTATATTCACTCTTGATGAAATGTGTCCCGTCACACCCACGTAAATAAAACTAAATGACGAGAAATTGTGCAACGTTTTGCTCACTCTATAGGAAACAGCTTAAAGTCCATGTCATTAAGCTCATTCAGAGTTTGCAGACCTTCCATCAACTGCCCAGCTGCTATCTCCATCAAACCCTTCATATATAGGCACGAACATAGCACCTCCTTTGACTTGGTAGCCTAAGGAAAATTCATAAAAATGTTTTACCAATAACATCACCACCATATAACTCCCGGCTGAATTTTGAAACAAACGCAAGATATACGAGATATTTTGACAACAAATATACTGTCTGTATTTGTTCATAAAGTATTATCATCTCACACATACCAATATATTCCTAAAAAATGTGCATACTTAGCCAAATATTAATACCAAAATAGACACGAACACGTCTTAATTATTTAAATTAATATTAGTTAATTAGTTAGTTATTTAACACTCTGACTATTAACATCGTAAATTTATACTATCTTGATATATATTCTTTCCGAACCATAGTAAACCTAACTACCAAAAAAAATCACAGACGAGAACTACATGCTTACATGTTGGAGGTTATTAAGCTGCTGGATGCACCGCTGGTAGTAATGCAGAGTACCTTTCTCGCTCATCACATGCGGCACTAGAAACTCGCTGGTCTTTTGCAATGGTTCAGCAACATCGTTTAATGATGCATACGTACTTGAACTTTTCTTCATCAGCGTTCGCGATTTTCTGAGTGAAATGCGTACATTTATATTGCAGAAGAACGAGCCATTATGCTTTAAGTGAAAAGTCACCACACAAGGTCTGATACGACCAACGTACGGCAAATTCGCTCTGCCTTGACAACCATAATAAAAACAACTTCATCATCCTATAGGTAGTACATTCTTTAAACTGGTACACAAGTGACAAACATAACAGAATTCTATATCAATACTTTCCAAAATATAATAGAATTGTAAAGCTAGGTAAATACACTCTATCACTCTCTCATCATATCTAAATACACTGCACATACCTGGTACTAGCACCTGCTGTGTACCGCCTAGCAGGCATGGAAGACGGCTGCTGGTCTGTTGTGGAAGGCAGCATGAATGCACGACTCCAGTCTATCTTGTGGTCAATAAGGTTGTTCAGGAACTGCCGGAACATGTCCGTGTGCATTACCTGAAATGGATAAACAGTCAGAGCTTGTTGAGAGTTCCAAAATATGTGTATTTTTGCAGGTCAATAAAAAACATACAGCACAAGCACATCCATTAATCGTATTTAGATGTGTAAATGCATGCCATACCATGCAGTAGAAGGGTCGGTCTGCTTCGGATTGGCACTCGAGAAATTGCTCCTTGTTGAAATGTTTTTTGTCTGCTTTGAGAAATTCAGGAACATCACTGCAACCAGAGGAGAATAGGATAAAAAGATTGTTACAGTGCTACTTTTTATATATCATTATCAATTCATATGGTTTCAATTTATGTGAGTGATTTTGGTTCGGGACATGTACAGATGGTCCATGAGGTATTCAGAGTGGCACATGTACGCCTCCCAGTATTTTCCATAAAAGATTTCTTTAAGATAACGTAATCCACGTTTAAAAAAATTATGATTCAGTATAATGCATATGAGAAATGTTCCACAAAGTATGCAACAAGGTTTTCATCATGGAAAATGACTGACATACGACACAAACAATTGAATAATGTCAGTATGTAATCCATGTAATGCAATAATCTGTTATTATCCATTATTAACTATACGTTGGCAATTAGTAGGCATGGTAGTGCAAAATCAACTAATTCTTACTAGAATATGTTGACCATAAGCTGAAAGAAGGTGAGCAAAATCTGATTGTTGCAATTCTGTTGAAACTCTGCTTTCATTCGTCTGGACAACAACACACACACACACACACGCACGCACGCACACACACACACACACACACACACACACACACATACACACACACACACACATATATATAATATACATATATAATCTTTTAAATAGGAGTTTAGTGAGTGTGACACCTAATTTCACTAATTGTGGGCAAAGTAGAATTTCATGTAATAATGAACAGTAAATTATCAGACATCATAATTATTAATTATATAGACTCAACTGTTGTTTATATCAAAGCAAGTAGGAATTTTATATTGAATTTAGTATTATTAATATTTGGATTATATAATGCTGAAGTAGAATTAAATAGAGTTTGTTCCTGTATTGATTAATTTCAGACCCACACCGTTGACTATTAACGAAGCACACACACACACACACACACACACACACACACACACACACACACACATATATATATATATATACACACACACACACACACACACACACACACACACACACACACACACACACACACACACACACACAGGTGTGTGTGTGTGTGGTTGTCGTCGTTGTCGGTGTGCGCTGTGCTGCTGCGTGATTAATGGCTGTATCTACGTTCGATGTTGTCACTAGAACTGCTGATTGTCATTCTCTCACCATGACCTCTCGTTATGAGGCATTCACGCTGCCACGTTACTACGTCACATCGGGCTACGCATGCGCAGAGACCCGCACCGGTGACGTCAGTGTGACTGAGCGACAGTCAGAATGATTACATGTGCGTTGCGTTGGATATTAGGCATACGCGCACGCACGCACACGCACGCACGCGCACGCACATTGCGCGCACATCGAGGTACATTGGTGCGCGTTTCTATTGCTACCGCAGCAGCTGGTTTAACGCTACCATCAGAATAACTCAGTTGCAGAGCACAGGCTATCCGGGGTGTGTACACACGATTATTTTCTACATCAAATTCTAGGGAACGTTCAATATTGACGTTATCTGCTTGTTCAAATAATTATCCATGCGAGCAATCCACTTGCTAACGAATATTTTAGCAGTAATACTAGACTGTTCTATCTGAGGTTTGTCGCACCGCATGTAGGGGCGACTGCATGCAGCTTTGTCGCTCGACATGCTATTAGAACCAGTCTATGCGTTAGTGGTAAACGCTAGCTGTCAGCCATTCAGAATCCAACGTAAGAAAGGACTTCGTGCGTATTTTATTCGACGTTTAAGGATTCGAACAGAAGATTCTATGAATCCGGGTTCTTTGCCGTTTGTTAAGCGGCTGGGGTAGCCTTAAGCGCCCTCTAGCGTCGCGATTTATAAATGACCAGACGGAGCATCCATGTTTATTTGCCATGACGGAGGCGGAGCTCGGAAGGAATGAAACCCAGAGCAATGTTTTCCCACTTTAGTTCATGATTATGGTTGATGATGATGATGATGATATAATTTCCCTCGGCGGACATTCTTTGTTGACTGCTGCAGTTGACTGAAGAGAGTGATTTTTTTCTGTCTCGAGGGC